GGGGGGGCCCCCCCTGCCTGCCCGGGGTCCCCCCGGGACCGTGCTGCAGCAGGGACGGCAGCCCGTGGGGTCGCTGTGCCGCCCGGCCGTGCCCGAGTCCAGCTTCTGAGCCAGGGCCGGCGGGCATCCCCACCCGGGGCAGCTGGAACCAGGGGCTCCTGAACTGGGGGCTGCCAAACTGGGGCTATCCCAAACTGGGGGTGTCTCGACCCAAGGGCTCCTGAACCAGGGGATCCCAAACAAGGGCATCCTAAAGCAGGGTCATCCTGAACCGGGAACATCCTAACCTGGGGGCATCCCCAAACTGGAGGCATTCAGGTATCCCGAAGCTGGGTCATCCCAAACCTGGGGCTCCCAAACTGCGGGTATCCCAAACCAGGAGCACCCCAAACCAGAAGCTCCTAAATCAGGGCATCCCATCCCAGGGCATCCCGCCCCAGGGGCATCCTGAACTGGGGGCATCGCCCACTCACCTCCCTATGCCCCTTCCCCGCAAGCAGGCAGGCGGCCACGGGCTCCGCCAGCTCGAAGACGCGAGAGTATTTATTGTACCAGGAGAGTTTTATTGAGAGACGCTTTTTGTTTTTTAAAAGGCGACTATTTTGGGGGGGCGGGCGGGCGGGTCCCCCACACCAAGATCTATGCAATACGCGATTCCTCCAGCCAGCTTTTGTACGCGGGGGTGCAGCCCCCACCGCCGGCGGTTTCTATTAAAGACACGTGAAAGGAGCCCAGTGCGGTGCCTGGGGGGCGGCCCCAGTGTCCATCCCAGGGGACGTATCCAGGGGTGGGAAGAGCTTCATGTCCCATTGGTGGTGGTCCCAGTGCTGCGGTGTGTGCTGTGGATCGGGGTGGTGGGGATCAGCTTGGGAGTGGGGCTTGGTGGGGTCAATGGTGGCCAGATCCTGTCCCGGCATGGTGGTTGTGTGCCTGCTGGGAGGTCTGGGAGGTGGTGGCAGCACCAGGAGCACCAGTGATGGTACCTCTGCCAGGGCAGAGGAAGGGGATGTCTGGAGAAACTTGGTGCAGCCACAGCAGGAGGCAAAGATGGCGGTGAATGTGGTGGGATCAAGGTGGAGATGAAGATGGAGGTGGAAGAGAGGAAGAGGATGCTGGAGGTAGACATGGAGATGAGTGGAGAGGAAGTGGGATTGGGGTGGTGGTGGAGGAGATGAAGGTGGATGAGGTGGGATGGGGGTGGAGGTGATGGAGGAGACTGGGACAGAAGGGGGGGAGATGGAAGTCGAGATGGAAGCAGGATTGGGTTGAAGTGGAGGCAGAGGAGATGAAGGTGGAGGAGACCCTTGGTGGTGGGCTGCTCTAGGCCACCTCCCAGCTTGCAGTGCCACTGCTGGTGCCATGGCTGTGACCCTGTTTTGCAGCAGGTGGCAAATGTGGGTTTGTCACCCATGTGTCACCCAGGCAAGCAGCAGCCCTGGGCATGGCAGGTTCCCCAGGGCACCCATGGGTGCTGGCAGTGGCATGGGCAGGGCTGCTGCTGCTCCGCATCCCACAACTGAGGCTGGGAGGGGGTGAGAGCCCCAATATGAGTGGCCATCCCTGTGCCAGGCCTCGGGGACCCCATGCCCACCTCCCCTGCAAGGGCCCTGCCTTGGCCCAGCAGCTGGGGGGGACCTTGGTGGGGTGTAGATGCACTGCAGGGACCCCAGGGACCTGCCACCCCAGCACCCTGGGCTGCTCCCTCTGCCCGGGGGCCCTTGAGGCTGGGGGCCTGCTGAGCCCTGGGGCACTCAGTTCCTCCACACTTGGGTGCTGCCCTGCCCTGGTGGGCATCTGCGTGGCTGGGGCTGAGGCTTGGCATTGTCACACTGCAGGGGTGGCATCCCCCCGCATGGTCCCCAGCATCCCATGGGGAATGGGGTGAAGGATGTGGTGTGGCCAGGCTGGGGACCCCCACAATGACGTACCCCATGCGGGCAGAGGACCATACCTTCCCTGGCACCCATGTCTGCCCGCAGGTGTGATGGCCTGCAGGTACGTCCATGCCTTCCCATGCAGCAGCATCCCGTGGGGCATCCTCTCCCCATTGCCCCTCCATACTGTGCAAAGCGGGGTCCCGTCCCCCACCCCATCCCACCAGGCTGGGGAAGCTCCCGGTGCCATGGAACCCCTCTGCTGCCCATCCTCCACTGCCACGCGATATTCCCCTCCACATACATGCTGCTTGGTCCCAAAACACAGGCAAGGACCCCCCACAACTGGGTTGGTGCCCACCCCGAGTTTGGGACCACCCCAAATCCAGGCTGGGACCACCCTAGCCCTGATGCTGCCCCATCCCTTGGGACCATGGCAGCCCACACCGAACAAAAGCCATTTTATCACCCAAACCCTCATTAAGGCCCATTTCTTACAGCAAAGTACCTTCCAAATGTGTCCTAAATCCATCAGTGGGCACCAGTGTGGGCTGGGACCATCCCAAACCCAGGCTGGGACCACCCCATGCCTGGCACTGCCACATCCCACGGGACCAGGGCCCCAACATCCCGCACCAACCCAACCCCACCATTTTACCCGCCAAACCTCATCCAACCCCACATCCCCCCACCAAACACCCCCCACCGCCGCCACCGCGGCCGGGCACGGCCCTGCTGGTGCCAGCAGGCATTAACCAAACGCCAGCGCTGCCGGGCAGTTCACAGCGAGTGGCACATGGATTTATTGATTGCTTTGGGGTGCTGCTGCCCCCGGGTGCCCGCCTGGGGCGAGGGGCACGGCGCGAGCGGGGCGGGGGGGCAAAGCGCTGCCATTTCCATCCTTCCTCTGTGCACCGGGTGGGTGGGAATGGCTCCAAATAAAACAAATCTCTATATATTTTTTCTATATATATATACAAATATATAATATATATATATATCTCTGCCGATATATATATGTAATCTCTCTTATCTCTCTGGAAAGGATAAAAGGTTAATTTGTCTTCGCATGCACGACCAAAGCCACCAACCCATGGGGACAGCGGGTGCCGAGGGATGCGCGCCTTTGCCCGCCAGCACCCCGAGAGCCCGGGGGAGCCGCATCCTGCGTCCCCAGGTTATTGCTGGTCAGGTCCCATCCTGCTCCGGCAAACAAGCGGAGGGGGAAGAAGCCGAAGAAATGAAATCCCGCTGCAAAGCGCCAGCGAGCTTGTTGTCACCTGGCCGGTAGCCAGTGGCACCTGCTGTCGGGGCACGGAGGAGGTGGTGGCATCGCCCCAGGACCGTGGGTGCTGCGGGGTGCGGGGGGGCGCAGGCACCCGGTCGAAAGGCAAAGTCTGGATAAGGCGAAAAAAAACCGAAATAAAGAACAGCGACCGCCCCCCAAACCGGGCGCTTTGCCACCCGGAACTGGCATGCCGGTGGCCCTCGGTGGCGGTGGCTGGTGCTGGCCCCCGGGTGCTGCAAGGATGAGCTTGGGGACAGGGACACTGTCATAGGGCTGTGCTCTCTGATTCCTCCTCCTCCTCCTCCTCCTGCCGGGCGGCTGGGCCCAGCCCCGAGAGTCTCTGCGGTGCCTCCGGCGGGTCCCGGCACAGGGCGGCATCCGGGGAGACGTGGAGGGAGGGGACCTCAAAACGGAGCAGACCTGCGGGAGGACAGAGTGATGGGGGACACCTCGCTGGGGCTGGCTCCGCGTTAGTGCCACCACCAGGGATGTCACCACTGATCCCTGCCCTGTGCCACCCCACCCTAGCCGGAGCCTGTGACACCAGCCCCGATGTTGTCCCCCCCGATGCCCTGCTCTCCTCCCACTGAGCGCAGGTGTCCCCTCCCAAGGGACCTGCAAGGCGAGCCAGCACCCGTGCAGTGACAGAGGGTGGCCCACAGCCCGTGGCAGGCGGTGTCACCGGTGTCACCACTGTCCCTTGCCGAGAGCAGAGCAACCCTCCCCCAGGTGGATAAAGCACTTCTGCCTGCGCCTGCCAGGCCCTGCCGCCATCGTGGGGTCCCAAAACTGGCAGCGGCTCCCACGGGCACACGGTGGGGAACCTGCACCCGTGCGAGGGTGCAGTGCTGGGGCTGCACCCATGCCCAGAGGCAACGCCAGGGTGCCAGGGCCGCACCGACACCTGCGTGCAACACCAGAGCTTCACCGGTGGGTGCCACGCCAGGGCCGCACCGGTGCCGGGGTGCGATGTCTCGGTGTGAGGTCAGGGCTGCGCCGATGCCTGGCTGCGATGCCAGCGCGCGATGCCCGGGCTGCACCGCTGCCAGCGCCGCACCAAAGGAAGGTGGCCCGCCTGGGGAACACCTAGCCCCCGCTCTGCGGGGTGCCTGGAGGCTGGTTGGTGCCCACGCTGTCCCCCCACCTGTCGCAGGCAGGACGGGCACACGGAGGAGCAGAGCCCTCCGCCCTGGGGGGTCCTGTGCCCAGCCGGGCCAGAGCCGGGGGGCTCCCAGAAGTGCCCGGCCCCTGCGTCCCCAGGTGTCCCCGATGCCGCTGGCACTTCCAAAGCATCGCCCTGACCGTCCCCCTCCGGGACACCGGGGTGCGGGGACACCGACAACCCAGGGACAGGCAGGTCAGAACAGCAGCACCGGCTCGTGGTGCTTCCCAGGGACGTTGTCACCTTCCTGGGGACATCACCAGCTTCCCAAGGATGCTGCCACCTTTCCAGTGACAGTTTCGCCACCTTCTCGGGGACACAGCCGGCTTTGCAAGGACGTTGTCACTTTCCCGAGTACACTGTCACCCTCCTGAGTTCTACCTTGCCACGGACATTGTCACCTTCCCGGGGACAGTCCCACTTTTCCAGAGACGCCCCCCCCCCCCCCCCCCCGAGTGCATTGTCACCCTCCCGGGGAGGGACAGTTCCACCTGCCTAGGGACACCGCCACCCTCCCGGGGCCA